AAAATAAAAATACCGAAACAAAATATTGATTTTCTGAAAAACCCTAAAAAAATATCAATTCGACACCGTCGCAAATTCGATCAAAATATCGATTTTTAAATTACACAAATCGATTTTTTTGTTTTTAAATGAAAATACCGAATCAAAAATTCGATTTTCTGAGAGTAGCTAAAAAAATATAAAATCGGCAACGTCGCGCTTCATAAATTCGATAAAAATATCGATTTTTAAAATTATAAAATCGTTAATAACTTGCTCGAAAATGAAAATACCGCATAAAAAAATTGATTTTCCGAGAAACGCTGAAAAAATATAAAATCGGCAACATCGCACTTCATAAATTCGATAAAACTATTGATTTTAAATTTACTAAATTGATCTTAACTTGCTCGAAAGTAAAAATTTCGAATCAAAAATTTGATTTTCTGACAAATGCTGAAAAAATATAAATTCGGCAACGTCACGCATCATAAATACAATCGAAATATCGATTTTAAAATTACGTAATTAATCTTATGTTATTTAAAAATGAAAATACCGAATCAAAATTGTGATTTTCTGAGAAACGCTGAAAAAATCTAAATTTAGCAACCTCGCTCTTCATAAAATCGCTCGAATTTCGACTTTAAAGTTACGCAATCGATCTTAACTTTCATTTGAATTTCTGTAATTATTATTTATCGATGTTTTTTTAAAAGATTTTAAATAGTTTTACGTTGCCGTTTAAAGTTTAAACATTTTTCGCCGGTTCTCCTGATTTTTTTACTTGTCTAAGTATCTTTCTTTTCCTATGTTTTCAACAAATCCAAACACCCCGTATCGTAAGCAATCTTATTTGAAGATCGCCCCTGGTAAGCGAAAATTAAAAAGTATTTTTTTTTTTTCACTGAAATAAGGCACTAAAATAATTATTATTGGTAATCATGTTAATCCTACGAAAGAAATTGATGCGCTAGATAATTTTCATTATTGTCAACGTTCAAATTCGTAACTGTCATTTGAAAAAATCAATTTGACAGATAAAACAGCATTTGTCAAATATCAAGAGTTATCAAATAACAAATGATATGAAACAAAACTTTTCCTAACTTTGTATATTTGTTATTATGAAATCTTGAAAGTTTATAAAATCTTCATTTATGATCCGCCAAAATTATGTAGCGCAAAATGTCTTCCCCTACACGCCGCAAAACGAAAAATTAAGTAAACAATAAAAAATTGCTCCACAATTACCCGTAAAATTACATTTCGATACTTAATTTCAGTCATCCGTATTAGTTTTTGCGTTTTCAAAGATATTTACGTGAGAAAATCAAATTTAAACGGAAATATTTGACAGACGACTGATTTAACTGTCAATAGTTAATGCAATGACAATCGACAAATGACAGCACATAACCATAAACAACAATTTAGTAAAATCCCAGTATAATTAAGAATACAATAGCGACAGCTTGAGTCGGCTTCTTTGATGTCGGGGTGGTCAGATTTTTATTGACAGTTGACGTTTTTGCCACTTATTTCTACACTGAAATAAGTAATTTTAAAATATCTTGACCCTTTGTCTGTTTGAATAAAATATCACACAATAAATGAAAGATGAAAACTAAGTCTAAATATAATAAAAATGTATAAAAATGTGCATTACAACCAATCAGATAATCAAAACAATCAACTACCATGAATCCACTGACAAATTCACATATGCCAGTTTGATGTATTTGCCGCTTATTTACGACATGCGCAAAAAAATAAGGAACCCTCATAAACAATGAACTGTCGCTACTGTATTATTACTTATACTGTGGTAAAATGTATTTGACTGACGAATGATTTAAGCCGTCAATAAACTGTCAATCGACAAGTGACATTATGTAAAAATAGAAAACAATGAGCTAAAATGGCCAAAAAACGAGAAAAAATAATTTATTATGAAGATATTTACGACGAAGAATCAAATTTAAATGGAAATTATTTGAAAGACGAACAATTTAACCATCAAATTGTCAATAAATTTAAATCGAGAAGTGACAGCACCAAAACAGAAAATAATGAAGTAAAAATGTTGACAGATGACCGACGCATCACTTGTAAATAAAATGATAGTCGACAGGTAACAGCACCTAAAAATGAAAAACAATGCCCTAGATTGGTTCAGTTAGTTAAGAGTTAGAGCGAGACAGAAGCAGTGTTTTTTTAATGTTTTTAACTGTCAGTTAAGGATGTTGAACTATCACTAATTGGAATGAACGACCGATGACAGTTAAAAAAGTGAATGGAGCTGGAATAAAGATCGCAACTACTAAAATGATCAAAGTTATTGTCAGATAATAAATTTAATCACTTGCCAAAAAAACTTCAAAAACGTTTAGAAAAAATTGACAGATTCAAATACCACTCAACAAAAAATGACAAGTGACAGCAGTTAAATCGTTCAAATTAATTATGTATTTCGAGGATACCAGGGTGCAGGTTGACAAATTGAACGATTCTAGAAATAAGGGATGGGGATATTTAATAATCAACTTTGGGGGTTATGATTGACAACCTGTGTTATTTTTAACAGGTCTGTTATTTTATAAACACACAGAAATTACAACCTGTTCACAAATAACGTGTCTGTTAAAAATAACATTACTTGTCGATCATAACCCCGTTTGACAATATTAAAAAAGAAGAAAACAGTTGCTAAATATTTGATATTGATAATCGCTTTATCATCAATTTAGCATTGATTTATCATCAATTTAGCATTGATTTATCATTGATTTATCATTGATTTATCATTGATTTATCATTGATTTATCATTGATTTATCATTGATTTATCATTGATTTATCATTGATTTATCATTGATTTATCATTGATTTATCATTGATTTATCATTGATTTATCATTGATTTATCATTGATTTATCATTGATTTATCATTGATTTATCATTGATTTATCATTGATTTATCATTGATTTATCATTGATTTATCATTGATTTATCATTGATTTATCATTGATTTATCAATGATTTATCATTGATTTATCATTGATTTATCATTGATTTATCATTGATTTATCATTGATTTATCATTGATTTATCATTGATTTATCATTGATTTATCATTGATTTATCATTGATTTATCATTGATTTATTATTGATTTATCATTGATTTATTATTGATTTATTATTGATTTATCATTGATTTATCATTAATTTATCATTAATTTATCATTAACTTATCATTGATTTTCAGTCATTAATATGTAGGGTTTCTCATACATTTTATTGATTTCTCATCGTATTATTATCGATTTAGCATCCATTTGCATCGATTTTTCAGCGATTTATCGTCGATTTGGATGGCTGAAAATACTTGTCAATTGATAATCCATTTATCATCATTCTCTTATCAACTTATAATCGATTTTTTCATCGATTTATAATCTATATATCATCAATTTGGGTAGCTGAAAATACATGTCGAAATACATATCGAATGATTTATCATCAATTTTGGTGGCTAAAAATACCGGTTGTTTGACGTTTGACAACTGACGTAATAAAGAAATCTGTTTGGGGATCAATTCTGGAGCAATTTTTTGAAAAGTGTAGGATTTCTCTACAAGGTCGTATTTACTAGTACAATTATTGCTCATTTCAATGATTGTAAGTAAAAAAAAATTATATAGGCCTACCAGGCGTCATAATAATATATAAATACATGCAACAGGTTTTAACGACGGCGTATTCAGTACCATATTTAAAAAATTTGAAAAAATAATCGAAAATCAGATTTTTTTTTTAAGAAATCTTATTCCTTTTTTTGCACTGATAAGCCGTCGTATGTTTTACATAAATTAGGTAAGATAATTGTTTTTTTGGAATTTCAATTTCCTAGGTAGATTTTTTTCATAAATGAACTCGTGTGTACGTCTACGATTCGGGTTGCATCAAAAATAACCTCTAAGTTACTTTTTTTTAATATATTTATGGAGTTTTTCAATTTTTTTAGGTTATCATAGATTAAATTCCAAAAAACTAAGTTACTTTTAATACAGGTCGAATCGTAGTTGTATTTTGTAAACATTTGAACGTTAAATATGTCAAAACAAAACAATTTAGCAATATACATGTTCAAAAGTCAAATGTCAATTAATTCGACTTCGACGTTCAAGAAAAAAATGTAAAGATGCTAAAATAATTTAAGAAAACGTTGCGAAATTAATGGACAAATGACAAGTGACAGAAGACAAATGATAGAAGAGAAATAATAGCACTTGTAAATGTGGTATCGCAAGCAAATGGACTATAATGACCCGAAATATAGATAATGCGTTCAAATATTCGAATTAGTTGACAGATGACTGAATTAAACTTCAAGTATCAATAAAATCGAAAAAGACAAGTGACAGCAATTAAAATAGAGAAAAATGAGTTAAAATGTTCAAATTAGCTGGCAGACGACTGATTTAACCATCGTCAATAAACTGACTTGACAAGTGACAGCACCTAAAAGTAGATAACAACACGCCAAAATGATCAAATTAGTTGACAAATGACATATTTAAAAGTCACTTACCATAAAAAACCTTCAGAAACGTTTAAAAATATTTATTATGGACCGTTTCAAATTTATCGTTCAAAATATTACAGTTTGAATAAATTAAAATTAGAAAACAATGGTTGACTTAAGTACCTGCTGAAAAAAAAAAATAAAAAAATGGAAGATAATAATTAAGTACCTTTGTGAAATTAAAACAAAAAATGTATATATAAGTATTTCGGGGGCCCCGATTTCCCTCGTTCACCATCTCACATCAGGGCCCGAAAAATTCGTTATAAATTTCTGGGCAGCAACATGGACGCCTCGTCGTCTTTGCTATGTTGAATGTCGTCCGCCGGCGTGGGGCTGACTTTAATCGAGCCGTTGATGTCGTGAAGAACGCCCGCACCAACACCGCCTACTCGGTGAGGCGGGCTGGTGTTGCTGTAGTGCGACGGCGTCTTACGGCGTCTTAGGACTGGTTTGCATCGAGAGGTGTTCCGGCTTGATCTCCTGCGATTTCCGCGACGATTTCCGTCTAGGGGTTTGTCGACCGGCGCTCACAACATCGTCTTCGTCTAGCGAGTGCAGCAACTAAGGAAAATGCCACAATTAGTAAAGAAACAATAAATTCATCAGGATCGTATTCAAGGACGAAGGATACCTTATGGTTCCTGATTAGCTCCTTACACTCTACAAAGAGTTACGGATCGCTATACCGTCACTTATGACAGTATAAGCATCACCTTCGTTACATTTCATGTACGTCAAAATGAAATCTTCGCTGTAACTGTTATGGCGGAATATCTGAAAATAAGGAAACGAGGGTAATAAAGGAGGAAATATTTGAAAGATTATCGGGATCTGAAAAATTGCGACGGAAAAAAAGGATTATAAAGGTTCGTTTCAAGAACTGAAATATTTTACCTTATCGACTTCTTCATCAAATTGTTGATCTGTCTGGTTTTCTCCCTTTTTCGATCTTTCCATCAAAGTGGCACGCTTGGCGGCTAAGTAGAGAGCTCTCTTGATCTTGAGGTACAATACCTCGGTGGTAGCCCGTACGCTGTAATCGGGGATAAAGGTGTGACGTAGTAACGAGTCGATGTTCAACGATTCTAAGCTGCCCATTGTAGATGGCGCCACTGATGGTGATTCTAAACGAAACGAATAGAAATTAAAAATGGCATTGGAATGTTTAAAAAGTTTTAAGAATATATACGAATGTTTTAGAATGTTCAATAATGTTCAAAAATGTTCAAAAATGTTCAGAAATGTTCAGAAATGTTTATAAATGTTCAAGAATGTTTAAGAATGTTTAAGAATGTTTAAGAATGTTTAAGAATGTTTAAGAATGTTTAAGAATGTTTAAGAATGTTTAAGAATGTTTAAGAATGTTTAAGAATGTTTAAGAATGTTTAAGAATGTTTAAGAATGTTTAAGAATGTTTAAGAATGTTTAAGAATGTTTAAGAATGTTTAAGAATGTTTAAGAATGTTTAAGAATGTTTAAGAATGTTTAAGAATGTTTAAGAATGTTTAAGAATGTTTAAGAATGTTTAAGAATGTTTAAGAATGTCTAAGAATGTTTAAGAATGTTTAAGAATGTTTAAGAATGTTTAAGAATGTTTAAGAATGTTTAAGAATGTTTAAGAATGTTTAAGAATGTTTAAGAATGTTTAAGAATGTTTAAGAATGTTTAAGAATGTTTAAGAATGTTTAAGAATGTTTAAGAATGTTTAAGAATGTTTAAGAATGTTTAAGAATGTTTAAGAATGTTTAAGAATGTTTAAAAATGTTTAAGAATGTTTAAGAATGTTTAAGAATGTTTAAGAATGTTTAAGAATGTTTAAGAATGTTTAAGAATGTTTAAGAATGTTTAAGAATGTTTAAGAATGTTTAAGAATGTTTAAGAATGTTTAAGAATGTTTAAGAATGTTTAAGAATGTTTAAGAATGTTTAAAAATGTTTAAGAATGTTTAAGAATGTTTAAGAATGTTTAAGAATGTTTAAGAATGTTTAAGAATGTTTAAGAATGTTTAAGAATGTTTAAGAATGTTTAAGAATGTTTAAGAATGTTTAAGAATGTTTAAGAATGTTTAAGAATGTTTAAGAATGTTTAAGAATGTTTAAGAATGTTTAAGAATGTTTAAGAATGTTTAAGAATGTTTAAGAATGTTTAAGAATGTTTAAGAATATTTAAGAATGTTTAAGAATGTTTAAGAATGTTTAAGAATGTTTAAGAATGTTTAAGAATGTTTTAAAATGTTTAAGAATGTTTAACAACGTTCAAAAATGTTTAACAACGTTCAAAAATGTTCAAGAACGTCAAAGAAAGTACAAAGAACATTCAAGAATGTTTAAGATTGTTCAAGAATGTTCAAGAATGATCAATAATGTTTGTTTAAGAATGTTTAAGAATGTTTAAGAATGTTTAAGAATGTTTAAGAATGTTTAAGAATGTTTAAGAATGTTTAAGAATGTTTAAGAATGTTTAAGAATGTTTAAGAATGTTTAAGAATGTTTAAGAATGTTTAAGAATGTTTAAGAATGTTTAAGAATGTTTAAGAATGTTTAAGAATGTTTAAGAATGTTTAAGAATGTTTAAGAATGTTTAAGAATGTTTAAGAATGTTTAAGAATGTTTAAGAATGTTTAAGAATGTTTAAGAATGTTTAAGAATGTTTAAGAATGTTTAAGAATGTTTAAGAATGTTTAAGAATGTTTAAGAATGTTTAAGAATGTTTAAGAATGTTTAAGAATGTTTAAGAATGTTTAAGAATGTTTAAGAATGTTTAAGAATGTTTAAGAATGTTTAAGAATGTTTAAGAATGTTTAAGAATGTTTAAGAATGTTTAAGAATGTTTAAGAATGTTTAAGAATGTTTAAGAATGTTTAAGAATGTTTAAGAATGTTTAAGAATGTTTAAGAATGTTTAAGAATGTTTAAGAATGTTTAAGAATGTTTAAGAATGTTTAAGAATGTTTAAGAATGTTTAAGAATGTTTAAGAATGTTTAAGAATGTTTAAGAATGTTTAAGAATGTTTAAGAATGTTTAAGAATGTTTAAGAATGTTTAAGAATATTTAAGAATGTTTAAGAATGTTTAAGAATGTTTAAGAATGTTTAAGAATGTTTAAGAATGTTTAAGAATGTTTAAGAATGTTTAAGAATGTTTAAGAATGTTTAAGAATGTTTAAGAATGTTTAAGAATGTTTAAGAATGTTTAAGAATGTTTAAGAATGTTTAAGAATGTTTAAGAATGTTTAAGAATGTTTAAGAATGTTTAAGAATGTTTAAGAATGTTTAAGAATGTTTAAGAATGTTTAAGAATGTTTAAGAATGTTTAAGAATGTTTAAGAATGTTTAAGAATGTTTAATAATGTTTAAGAATGTGTAAGAATGTTTTAGAATGTGTAAGAATGTTTATTTTTGCAATATTTATTTTTGCAAAAGAGTATGTATGATGACTGGCTTATAAATGTCTCCAAATGTAACTTAATTTAAATATAGCTTAGTTACAAATTGTCTTAGTTTTGTTGTTATATAAGAAGATTCTTAAGTTTTGAAACTTCTTTTTTAACTGTGCATAGAAATCATTAAAATAAATAACTTTTTCCAAAAATTGTAAAAATAAGAAATATATAAAATTAAAAAAAAAATCAAAAGCCATACCCATACATTAAAACGTAGGCTGATATAATCTATGTAATACGCTATATTAACGGGACGTAATTTTTGTTCCACTGACAGTTAACTTTTAACAAAAAAAATTAAACTTGGTCAATTGCAACCACCGTTTAAAAATACCATGAAAGTTTGAAACAGCAAAACTGCAATACCAATATATAGCACGAATTGAAAATAATTAATTACAGTCAAATATAACGCGAGTCACATAAGATATAGAAAACAATAGTACTATTTTTCATCTCTCTATTATCACAATGAAGTTGATAAATAGACGTGAAATACAGGTCGGTCGTGATACTACAACCATGATATTACGTGAATATAACAGTGACAATTTTAAACACACTATTTAAGGAATGAATTAAAGTTTACTTTTTTACCTTTTTCTAAGGGTATTTGAAAAGTCGCTAAAAAAGAAGTATAAACTTAGGAATCATCCTGCATATTAAATAAATACCGGGTGGTCCACGAGTTGTCTTTGAAGTACAAGAAAAAGTATCTGAAGAGCCGATTCCAGAGTTGTAACATATACATAAGTTTTGTTGTTATATACCTATAACAGGTTAACCTTATAGCGAACAACCTTGCAATGCGACGTAACGTTGCTATGGATTATTTATGGTGTTGTCATTATTATTATTTTATATTAGACAATGTATCATACTGTAAATTTACGAACGAACATAGTTTAACTTACAGTTACCCGGTACATTTATCCTCTGCTATAATTCCATTTTAAAGATATAAATTTATACAAGGTAGTCAGTCTCGAATAGATACATCTCTGAAAACGCCTACAAACTACGACCAAGAGAGTGGAAAAGGAATTTATAATATTGATAAACTCGAACTCACTCTTGGTCTCGCGGTCTCACACAATGCATAAGACATCACGTACCTATCACCCAGTATTGTTAGATATACAATTTTTAAAACATTAAAAATGTTAAACAAACTGGGATGGGTTACAGTAAAATATACTACTGGTTATGCGAAAGATTATCATCACATACAAAAAAAATCAATCTAAGAAACAAAAAGGAACGTAGTTACTATGAAAGGTGGGACAGTAACGGGTAATAGTATTAAAACGAAACTATTAGGTTCTAACTGGACACTACACAGATGATCCAAGATTTAGGAAGCACAAGAAGATTACAACAAAAAAATATCTTTAGTGTGGTGACACTTACGCGTATGGGGAAACATTGCTTCTCTTGGGCTGTGACCAGCATCTAGAATGAAAAATGCCATGATAATCACAAGCATTTTACAAATCTACAATTAATATCGATAGAAAAACGCGCAAAATTAGAACATTGTTGAGAATTATTCAGATTTTTATTACGATATAAATTAAAACTAAAAACAAAGTATAAAAAAAATTGACTTACCAATTCCAACGGTTTGCACCAACGCCTGCGTTCCGAAATAAGTGAATGGTCCTCCTTCGAACATGAGGTTTTCTTTTCCAACTGTTACCTCGACACGTCCTTCCAAAATGACTACGAAAAAGTCCACTGCTTTACCGGGTTCGTAAATAACGTTAGCCGGATCAGTACGCCATTCTTTGTTTTTCCTGATGTGCACGGCGATGTCCTGTTTGAGAAGACGACGTAGGATTGTTTCGGATATTACGTTGGGATGGAAGGGTTCCACGCCTGAAATACGAGAGACCGTCAACGTAAGAAATTTTTAAAATTTTTCGATTTTTCCATTTTCGATTTTTCGATCTTTCGATCTTTCGATCTTTCGTTTTTTCGATTATTCGATTATTCGATTTTTGGATTTTTCGATTTTTCGATTTTTGGATTTTTGGATTTTTCGATTTTTTGATTTTTCGATTTTTCGATTTTTCGATTTTTCGATTTTTCGATCTTTCGATCTTTCGTTTTTTCGATTATTCGATTTTTCGATTTTTCGATTTTTCAATTTTTCGATTTTTCGATTTTTCGATTTTTCGATTTTTCGATTTTTCGATTTTTCGATTTTTCGATTTTTCGATTTTTCGATTTTTCGATTTTTCGATTTTTCGATTTTTCGATTTTTCGATTTTTCGATTTTTCGATTTTTCGATTTTTCGATTTTTCGATTTTTCGATTTTTCGATTTTTCGATTTTTCGATTTTTCGATTTTTCGATTTTTCGATTTTTCGATTTGTCTATTTATCGATTTATCGATTTTTCCATTTTTCGATTTTTCGATTTTTCGATTTTTCGATTTTTCGATTTTTCGATTTTTCGATTTTTCGATTTTTCGATTTTTCGATTTTTCGATTTTTCGATCTTTCGATCTTTCGAATTTTCGATTTTGCGATTTTGCGATTTTTCGATTTTTCGATTTTTCGATTTTTCATTTTTCGATATTTCGATTTTTCAATTTTTCGATTTTTTTATTTCTTTTATAATCGTACTACATTATTTAGAATCAAATTTTCTAATAAAAACACATGTAGCCAATGAAAAGTAGCCAGTTTCCATTTGATAAAATTTGGTTACGGTGAATTTAAAAGAGGAGATTTTTATATAGGTAATAATACATAATTTCTGTGTCACTGAAGCCAAACTTATAGCAAAATAACACAATTTGTTTAAAAGTTATAAGCTCTGGAAATAGGCTACTTTTCATTGGGACACCCTGTATAACGGATGCCAAATTTAAAAGAAAAAAATAATTTACACCTACTTAAAAAAATTGTGAAAATTTTGTAAAAAAAACATTACATAGTATTTTGCCAAATTAAAAAAAAATTAATTATATATTTTATATTAGTTAAATTTTTTATTTTTATTTTGTTTTTCTACTTAAATTTTTTTAATTTGATTATACAAATGAATATTAAATTTCTTATTACTCACTCGTGCTAAGATACTGGTAAGCCGCAAGTGTCAATTGCGGACTGATTCTCATCTTACTAGGTTCACCACGTTTTTCCGCGAATACGGTGAAGTCTTGTCTTCTCTCGGCATGCCTCTTTCTCTTTGAACGATTGTCAGCTGCAAAAACAAACGAAATGCCATTTTTGAAAAGTTATAAAAACAAAAACGTTATACAAATACAAAGAAAGTAAAAATGATAAAAAGTATGTAGAATCAGCGTAAAATGAAATTATGAAAAAAGTTTTAAGAAAACCAAAATGTAAATATTTGTAAAAAATTATAAAAAAAGGATACAAAATCAGAAAAGTTATAAATATACAAGGAAACTGAAAATAATAAAAAAATATGCGGAATCGGTGTAAAATGAAGTTATAAAAAAATCCAAAAAGTAAATATTAAAAAAAAATGACAGGAAAGGTTATAAAAACAAAAAAGTTATAAAAATACTAGGAAAATTAAACACGATAAAAAATATGTGGAATCAGCGTAAAAAGTTCTGAAAAGATAATGAAAAAAAAATATAAGAAATCCAAAAAGGTTAATAACTAAAAAAATTATAAAAAAGTTATAAAAACATAAAAATTATAAAACTACAAGGAAAAGTAGAAACGATAAAAAATAGTTAAAAGTAATCCAAATAAGTTAATATTTGTAATAAAAATATAAAAAAAGTTATAAAAACAAAAGTTATAAAAACAGTTATAAAAGTGCAAGGAAAGTAAAAATAAAGAAAAGCATGTGGAATCAGCGTAAAATGAAGTCATGCAAAGTTTTTGAAAAAAGGTTATAAGAAGTACCTGAAAAGGAAATATTTGTAAAAAAAATACAAAAAGGTTATAAAATCAAAAATGTTACAAAAATACGAAATCCGAAATAAAAATACGTAAAAAGTAAAACCGTATATAGGTCAATGTAAAATGACATTTTTATCAAATTAAAAATTTAAGTTTTTATTTTAAATTCAAAATGAATCCAATTTTAAAAAGTACATTTTTTATTTGTCGATTTCATTACGTATTTTTTGTTTTTTTGTTTGTTTTTTTTTATTCTTTTTTGTTTCTTTTTTATTTCTTTTTTGTTTCTTTTTTGTTTCTTTTTTCGTTTTTTATTTTTTTGTTTTAATTTACTAAAATTCATTGAGTTGAAATTAAAAAAACTCTTTCACGAATTTTATTAGTTTGCTCTTTGGATTACGGTTATATCAAATTATAAATTTTCATAAACATTTTTTAATCACACTTACTGAATACATCAGTCTCATCCATGATTTCCGCCTGAATCAACTCCTCGATGACATCTTCCAGTGTAACCAATCCAACGGTTTCATAAAACGGATCACCTTCGCCTTCATTATTGACTCTATGCACGAACGCCATGTGACCTTTGTTACCTACAAGAAAACATATTCATTAACATTTCTCAAATACTCGGTATTGATCCATATATGGGCCTGTACGGACAAAGATTGATCGTCGGGCTATGCCCTGCGACCTAATTAAGACAATAGTGAGAAATTATGGCAGCGGAAAATGTATAACTACTATTCAACTATTTGCTTGTCGTGTATTTTTCCGTTGAATTTTCTTACTAGTTTCGTTAAAATTGTTTTGAAATAGGTTATTTATCAAAAGAAAAAGTAGTAATAGAGTAGTTGGATAAAAAATACTGTGTGCCCTAAAAGGATCTAAAATCTTATTTTAATATTAGTAATAATTCTTCAGTAAATCTAAGGCTACCAAATCCTTCAATATACCCAATATAAAGGGCATAGATCGGCAATAAATATAAGAGTATCAATTCCACAATCTGGAAGACGAATGGAGTCCTTACTGGAACAAATTAAGCTCCAGATATATAAGGATTCACCCAATTGGCGCCCTACAACAATAAACTTTTACTTCTTGGATGCTTTAAGATTCACAACAACCTAGAAGATGAAACAGAGCCCTTACTAGAATGACTGAGGCTCCAGATATATAAAATTTCACCTAACTGGCGTCTACCAACAATTCTTCTTCTTCTTCTTCTTCTTCTTCTTCTTCTTCTTCTTCTTCTTCTTCTTCTTCTTCTTCTTCTTCTTCTTCTTCTTCTTCTTCTTCTTCTTCTTCTTCTTCTTCTTCTTCTTCTTCTTCTTCTTCTTCTTCTTCTTCTTCTTCTTCTTCTTCTTCTTCTTCTTCTTCTTCTTCTTCTTCTTCTTCTTCTTCTTCTTCTTCTTCTTCTTCTTTTTGGGTGCTTTTGCCTTTCCAGGCGTCTCAAATTATTCTGGCTTATTCTTAATCGGTGTCCATACCAGATTAATTTCATTCCATCATTAAACAAGGCTCGCCAAACTCAACTATGACCTTCATTAGAAGGTGTAATTATCCTACTCGATGACATAACCTACTATCTTCAACCTATTAAAAAAATGTTAACCTAGAAATTACCTTCTTTGAAGATTTTGAATATAACGTCCAGAGTGACATCTTCGAAAACGAAATTGCAAGGGTTTTGATAAAATTGGCACAAAGTTTTTAATGGAGTATTATCATCTGGATCAACGAACGCCAAATCCTTGATGTACAACATGGTGACGATGTTCTGTCTGTTCCCATCATACACTGGAATACGCGAGAATCCACTCTTCATGATCTCAGACACGGTTTCGAAGTCCAATACGGCTTCGTAGTCCAACATGAAGACGTCTTCGATGCGGGTCATGACGTGAGAGACGGTCTTTTTGCGCAATTCTAGAGCTCCGCTAATGATGTTTACTTCATCCTTATCAAGCTCGTTATCGCCGGTTGTCACCTGGAAAAAATAGAAACAAAATTATGTCGTGTCGGCATTTCCTACTAATAGGGATGATTGAATGAGATAGTTTCGGTTTAGAATGACCATATTTCGAGTTACTATTCGGGAAATTAAATTAAATAAAATTTTGTCGGTTGTCTAAAATGTATAGGGTTAAAAAAAAAACTAAAATAAAAGAGGAGGATCGGATATATAAGATTCAAAGCGCCAATGCCAAAAAATATTATTTACCGTTCACAAATTCAAAATAATACAATAGTTATTTATGTAACCAGTTTCGAAATGCCTTATTTTGTATAACGACTAAATATTTGCGAGACGAGCGGAGCGTGAAAAAAGTTTAATGTAATATACTCTTTTAGGAGATTCCATTATAGGACCATATCTTCGAAAAGGGGGATCACTGGAAAAAATTTAGAAACACTTGTCATATTCTATCTGAATCCGGGAGATTTCCCACATATTCTTGGACATATTTTAGACTGAACAAACCCTATAAATTCAATTAAAAATACATTTATTTGATACCCATTAAAACAAGTTATAGAAGAAGAATTTGAATATTAGTCACTTCCTGTTCCAAATAACTACTTACGTCATATTCAATAGTTCTATATACGAAAAATTGTAAGTAACAGAAATACATCACTCGGTTTGTTCTACTACTGTTGTACTATAAATACGAGGTTTAGCATATATTTTTTTTTCTCTTTATATTTAACATTGAACTAACTCTATAAATTCAATTGAAAGTACATTTATTTAATTCATATTAGAACAAGTCATAAAAGATGACATTATCTGCGGAATTTGAATATTAGTCACTTCCCGTTTCAAATAGCTACTTACGCCATATTCGACAGTAATATTAAAAAAATTCGTATAGGAATTCCCATATTTACATTGTGGTATGTAGAATGATAATACAATAACTTTTTATCGACTATGTTTACTACAGTTCAGTGATGTTTACAGATACAATTTCGTGGTGATATAAACATCTATTTATGTCTCTTTTAAATGACAGTAAATATTATAGCCGAGCAACACGCAATGTCACAGTCTACACTCCTTGTATTATTTGTGCAAATATTTGCAATCGACATGAATTCCCAAGAATGTTGAATATTCGAAATGAAATTTTCCAAGGGTATCTTTGTTTATATTAACAAAATTAAGACACAAGAGAAACAACGAATTTTTGAGGGTAGATCATGGGTAGATTCATTCTGACTATCTATCGCATCGCTTGAAAACGGTCTACAGCACAAAATTGTAATTTTTAGGAACAGGTAGTAGTTTTAAATTAAATTTTAAATGATTTCCACATAAATTATTTTATAAAATAAAGTATGGAACTAGTAAGTTCGAAACTTTTATTTTACAAAATAATTTAGGTCGATTATACCAAATTTGAGGAAATAATTTGTTATAAGGGGTCTGATGTGGAGAGTTGGTTCTGCATATTATTAAATAAATATAAAATATATCAATAAATAATAAAATAGAACATTCTTAAAATATGTTTATTAATAACTTAAATATTATTAGATAAAAATAAATACAAATAATAATAATACATATTTAACGAATACTTACTTGGAGCAAATAGATATATAATCTCAAATCTTTAAAATAACTATCAATAATTTAAATGTGAAGTAGAGACTAGGATATTACATTTTATTAACACTAAAGTTATATATTTTATAAATGTCTTTTTAACCGAGGACAAATGTAATATAGGTATTGTATTAAAAGGTGAATCCTTTTAACTATTCATTCAATGATAAATAGGTATTTTCCTTCCAAATACAGATGGTGGTATTACTCTCTTATGTGAAAAATGATTTCGGAATCTAGTCCAGTGATAAATTGATTATCAATTAGTTGTTGTACCCGTTTGTCTTTTTATGATGCAGATGCATGGTGAATCAATGAAGTTTTTCTCGAAGTTTTCAACGTAGCACCAAAATTATTGCAAAACACAGTAGGAAATAGAAAAGCGAAACATCACAATTTTGCAAATAACTAAGATGAAACTATAAACAGAAACCAAAAGACAAAGCCAACAAAAAATCACTAAAATCAGACGGAAAAATGAGACTAACCAAGAACATAAATAAATATACGTCACATCTTTGGAGTCTTTGGTTAAGTTTTTCTCCCATATAGCTTAAAAATGGAGTAAGAAATCATAATTTCACCAGTAGCCCCATCTAGAGTTTGGAGCAAATAGCATAAAAAATGTCAGTTGTCGGTTTTGACCTTGGTCATTCACGTGGAACCTCTATGTGCTTTGTGGTCTACAGCGTCGGCTATTACTCTTACGTTTATTTCTAATTTTATTATATTTCGTGTAAAGACAATTAAATTACCTATTATATATATTATTTCTACTTAATCATAGTTTTAGTGTTTTATTTAGAGGTAGTTTACATATTGTGGAGGAATTGTTCATTTCTGTTGAAGTGCATAAAAGATGGCCAATATGCCAAAGTTTGTTATTGTTACTGATCGAATATTTTTCAAATAAACTTAAACAGGGAATATTTTAGTTATACAAACTTCCATCTGTCACTTTTTGAAAGTTCTTTTTGATATACGAGGCGAGTTCGGATAGTCAGGGGCTGGAGCGGGACAAAAGCGGAGTGTTTTAGGGTGCTTTTAAATGACATTTAAGCGAGCTAAAATGTCACTAATCGGACTAAACCGAACGCTAAAAGGGTCGTTTGAAGTAAAAAGTGTTAAAGGAGTTAAAGGAACTTGGCAGACCGAACGCAATGACGCTAGTTCGGTGTGATGTCATTTTGGTTCCACTGACATTTAATTCTAACCAAACTTTTAACAAAAACATCAATAAATTTGACATATCGTTTTTACTGTTTTTAGTTTAAAGGTATGTAATTGGTAACTTGTATATTTGATGCATGTTATCTACTTACTTTAGGAATATATTTATAAAAAAAACGATATAATTAAGGTAAACAAAACGAACAAAACGCACTCAAAATATCTACTGTCACTTTAATTGTCAGTGGAACCCTAATTACATGATCACTGAACTAGCGTTTTTGTCTATTTATTTTGTTGTTATACAGTATACAGTATAGTATATACAAGGTGAGTCAAAACGAATACAACTATTTTATGTAATAGAGCAATGATAATTATGGTCAGTTTGCTATATAAACTAATGTCCGAAACTTTAAAATAAGGGAGATAAAGCCATTCAAAGAGAGAATGGAGTGGATTTAAGTCTGGCGACTGAGCAGGCCAGTGAATGGATGCATATGCACCTCCTGCCTATCCATCTGTCAGGAAAATTTTGATGTAAGCACATTCTGACAGCCCTTGTAAAATGGGGCGGAGCCTAGTCGAGCATGAATATTATTTCATTTTGCATTTGTAGAGGTACATCTAAAATTTGAAAGAGCTCATTTTTTTAAATTTATGTTGATAATGGTATACTCGCACAACAAAAGGATTTTCTTCAGCATAATAATGGGAGTTGTGCGTATTGAAGTAAACGTGGCCTCATTGAAGAAATTTGGGGTTCTTTGGTTTTTTTCTAACATTGCCAGACAAAACTGAAATAAATCGTCAGAAAGAAGTTCCTGAACTTGTCGAAAGCGAAAACCATGCCAAATTCTGTTCACGCAATACTCTAGTTAGATTGCAAATAAACCTGACCTTAAGGCTATTTGTCTTGTGCTGACCGTTGGAATTTGTTCAACAATATTTAGAATTTGTTATTCACAGTGGCGGCTCGTGGGGGGGTTCACAGTGACAGAATATAGATATCAGTACAGATGTATGAAAAAAACTTTCAGTGTTTTAGAAAGTTTATGATATAAGTACCTTCCTAAAACACTGACAGTTTTTTACCTGATCTATATTCTGCTACTGTGAACCCCCAAAATTTTGGTCGCAGGCCGTCCCTGGTTCTTCGGCTTCTACTGTTCTGGCAATTCGTGGCCGATCTGTATTATTTTTTACTTCCAGTTTTCCTGTTTCCCTAAGTCGCCTTTCAACGTTAAGAAATATCCTCAAATTTGGTAAATTTCGAAGATGGAAATTATTCTGCTTATCTTCTGACTACAGCATTAGTATTTCTCATTCACCCATCGTAAGTAGCATGTCGGTATACTCGTCAAATGGGTACATGTCTTAGAACAGAAGTAAAAGTTGGAAATGCTTTTGCCAGTTCTCCCACTTTATACACATAAATTGACAGGTTGGCAGCGGATATCACCGAAGTGGACGCGATACATTGGCGTACAAAATTATTTTATAGATGTTAATAACAATTTCGAGTAAATAATTTAATAAATTGTGAATAGCTGTTGAAATTTTGTAAAATTATGATTTGAATATTATAATACATGTTTAATAATTATTTATAATCCATAAATACATGCGATTGTCCGGTTGCGCCGATAACAATTTAAAATTACTTATTCTATGAAACGACACTGGCAGGTAAACATTACTGCGAAATTCTCGGAGCCGCCCGACGTGGTTTGACGTTTACCCCCTCTCTACCTACCGAAAGACTTTTCAACTTTTACTTTCTCTATAACAAAAATAGTATTAGCACAAATAACAGCCCGTAACAGAGAGATATTGCAAACTTCTATAACGTCAGCCACTAATAGTGACAATGTAATTAGAGGCAAGTAAATTCCATGCTAAAATAAGACGTATTGCAAACCTGAAATTTTGACATTGGAGTCCTTGTCCTTACACATATTTCTAACCTTATTTTAAAAATTTTAAATTACAGTTCATCTTTTTTTGTTGTTTATAATAGTACATAATATGGAAGAGGCATTAGAAATTACCATTTTAGAAGGTTTAAATGATGGTGATATTAATTATTTAATATTAAAAAACTTTGAACTGGTACGAATGTTGGCGAGCGCACCCGAAAACTATAAAGTCGCCACTAACTGCTGTCCTTAAACATATTAAGGACAGGCACAATCTTTATTAAA